GTGGCCATCTCCTGTCCTGTGCAAACTGACTGACTGACTGACTGACTGAACTGAACTGAAATCTTTCGGTGTGCACTTACGCGTATAACGAATTAACGCGAATGGCAACTATTTCAAAGCAAAAGAAAGTTAGAAAAGTCCGACAGAAGCTGAAGCTGTTCCGTGCTAATGAACCCCTAAAAAGCGTTTTAATGTGGGGTATCAATTATTCCTTCTCGGCGATGAATCATGTTAAGCATCGTCCTATGTTGCTGAAAGATGATTTCAAAGCTTACATGAAAGTGAAAATCAACAACTATCTTTTCAACAAGTAATATTTCCAAAATAGTATAATATTTATCAAATAGAGAGAACATGCCGAGTCGTTTTAAGTTCAAGGAATATTGCCCTATGGTGTTTAAAGCGTTAAGATACAGGTTTGGCGTCAACAAGGTTGATTACTGGGTGAGTGGAGTATTTCGTTTGCCGTCAATCCTTCATTCTTGTTGTTTTTGATTATTTGATTTAGGTTTTACGATTTATCCAGAAATTCTAGGGAACTGTCATCTTGTCGCTAGCATTTCCACCATCCTATATTCACTGTAGAGCTCCGAAAATGAAACTAATGGATAAACGCAACACTGAAGAAATCAATGTCGGCAAATGATTAAGTGACGTTCAAAAAGCGTTCTATTTATTGTTCAATGTCCCTACTTGATGTCGTGTGCTTCACAAAGCTTGATGTCTTTTCCAATTTTGGTCGCTTATTTCCTGTCCTTGTCCGTGAAAATCTGTCACTGAGGTACCTAGCAGACCTAATCCTGTGATAATCTTTGTTGATTCTCTAGTTTTATGATGTTATAGGTATATCTCTTTGAGGTTCTAACTCCACCTTTGCCGAATAATATTGGGTGGACAGTGCGTATACCATTTCGAGATGTTAGCCTGGTTTTGGAGTTAAATCAAAATGTTCGCTTTTTTATCTTCATGGAGGCGACCTTTGAACTCACCTAAGGAGATTCGTGTGTAATACACTCAATTTCCAAAATGTACATGCGTTCGTGTGTCTTCCCAATTACTTAGCCATAATAATCTACCGAAATTCCCGATTTTTCTCTTCGATTCCACTTTCAACCTTCCTGTCTTCATCCTATGGTTCATCCAAATGGGCAACCAAAAAACAACACCCAAAACCGGTGCACAAAAGTGCGTGGTTCTTGGTTGTTCGAACTGAACTAAGCTGAAAATGTGAAATACTATCCTCGATGAATGAAAAAACGACAATGATAATACGCTTTTGATGGTCTGGTCTGTTTTCCGTGCTGCGGTATCCACCAAGGCGTTTGGCCAGCAAAGTGTGAAGTATTTCATAGAGAAGGCTCGTAGGGTAAATCCGCGTCTGTTTTCACCCAGCTCATCAGCCATTTCTTATTGACTGTTTCAATAATCCTAACGGCACCTGAGGTCACATCGGACTGGGGTTTCAGTTCTCCTGTATGCATGAATGCCTGTGAATCTTTTTGGCCAGTGTTTATTGGAACGACGTTTCCAACTATAACTACTTCGACGTGATCAAAAATTGACCTCCAAACACCTTAATCAAGCCGCATTCAAACTCCACATCCGAAAGAGTCAAACACTGCTTGTCTGGTCTCCTACAGCACTTTCGTCTAAGATTCTCCGAAATATGGCTTTCCTTTAGTTTAAAGTCTTCGTTGTTTGGTCTTCGTATTTTTCAAATTGGTCTCAGCTGCACTCAGGCATGTGGAAACTGAAGTGATCTCGAAATGCAAACGGATATCACCTACTCAATGCCTATTGCCCTACAGACTTATAGATTACATTCGTTCACCTGCTTCTACTACCGACTAATTCCGCATGTTTTTTGTGCGAAACTTCCTCGATGCTTTATTTGTTCGCATTCTAGCTGCTTGAGTGAGAACTTATTGTGAGCTGTACGGTTCATTCAGTAGTTAATTTTCACTTTTGTACGGTGGTGGCCTGGTGGTAACGTCAACAAATTACCACCTCGGGGGACGTGTGTTCGAACCCCATCATCGCCGCCTGACTTTCCCCATTTGTTTGTTGTATGGCAGCTCTTTAATTGGCCGCTTCCCCCTTCCTGAAAATTGTGTATTCAGTAAAAGGAAGTAATATTAAAAATTAAAAAGTCAAAAGGTAATTCTTTTTATTTCCATATCTATCTATCTATATCTTTAACTGTTATTGCAACGGTTGTTTCTTTTTGAATCAAGGCTTGCGTATAACTTTCGAAAACATAAATACAATCCGATTAGAAAATACTGAACATCTCTAGCGTTTGGGCCATGTTTTATTGACCAGAGACCCATATAATTCGCTAATATAATGGTTAGTTCTAGCATAATTTGGTAATGAATTTTCGGGTACGCATGAAAGCCCTAACAGATGAAGCAAGCTCGTTGTTTGTCTGAAACTGTTGGTAGTCTCCAGGTGATCAACGTCAGTAAATTATCACCCTGTAGGGCGTGTTCGTGTCCCATCACCACCTGGCTTTCCCCATTATGTTTCATATTGCAGCCCTTTGATTGACCGCTTACCTCTTCCTGAAAATTGTAGCACTTTATATTCAATGAAAGAAAGGAAAATAAAAATAATTTTATGGTACGCTGGATCGATTTAATCGATGTTTAGGGTCATCAATTGATGACGTTCATTCCGTCTCCTCTCATACTATCTCTTAATTTTGCAATTTGCTCCTGTCAACCCTTCCTTCGTTTACTTCCAAGAAACAGCAATAAATTCCTTTGCTAAAGTTTGTGCTGAATGAATTGGGAAATCAACAAGTATAGCTCATTTAGCAGACCAACTTCACGGAGATGCATTTATAAAATCGTTGCAGAATATTTGTCATAGCAAATGGAATAAAACGCTCCGCTTTTTTGGTATCTCGCCATGATACATAAAATAATAACCCCATAGCTGTTAACCAATGACATGAACCCTAGAATGGCGAACTTCATTACAATCTACAGAGATTGGTAGCCCACTGATATGGGCGAAACTCCTTGATGTTGCAATTGCTATCGTTTTCATCATGTGTACCTATGTTGAACCACAGAAGAAGAAAACCACGTAATCGCTGGTACTGTTTATTTAACTTTTCTTTCTGGGCCCTAGTACTTCGACTAACGAACTACATGAGATCGACCGACTGATTATGTCTTTTGGGTGTCGGATTTCGGGTCTGAAGCATACCAGTTAGGGTGGTGGTGGCGCAGTGGTTTAGTCGCTGTCATCGGTGTGTTTTGAACCCTATGATTTGAGGTTCAAGCCCCGTCACCCCCATCCAACTTTGGTGGTAGACAGCAAAGCTGTCGCCCGGTTCTATACTACGCCTGATCTATCAGGGCCTTATGTGGTTCGCCACTCCAATCCCCGGGGCTTAGGTTACCGGTTACCGTCACTGAACAGCAGGTCTTCGTGACTATGGGGTCCGCTCCGACTGCTGTTGATCACACACTGGTGTGTAATAAAGAAGCTTACTTTCTGCTCTTGCTGGTCCTCAACATTTCGAGGAACAACTTAGTAGGCATTGTTCCTGATTATCATTGCAGGTGAGGGCATAATTTTCGCGTTTGTTCTCACTATCCGTGTCCATTCTATGCATCCGGCACTACTGGCGGCAGATATTGCTTAAAACAAAACGTAGGATGTGAAGATCATACGACGTCGATTGACAATATAAAACCTTCGAAACTCTCAGTATAGTCCGAGCGGATGTCGCCCTTCCTTTGCGATTCATGAAGTGCTCCTATACCACCGAGCGTTCCAAACCATCACGAAGAGACTGTACCTTCTCCGTATGCTAATAGCCAAAGCCGAGCTTACTTTTACTTTTTTTTTAAACTTTTGATGGATTAATTCCTGCGGGAAGATAAGTCGGCTTCCTGGATGTCTCTAATGATGGCGGCCCATGCATGACGATCGGTAGCAAGCTTGGCGCAGTGAGAAACCTAGTTATGGTTCCAGTTGCGAATTCCATATACGGATTGTAGACCCAGTTTTTAGTTTCAGTTTTTACAACCATTAACCATGCACTTTCGTGCGCCGGTTTTGGTTGCTGCCT